GGGGTTCCCAAAGTGGAGTGTGAGACACTCCTGGGGGTCATGAGACACCAGTTGGGGGTCGTGAGGTGGTTCACATGATGACTGATATCTGATCTCTGAGGTATATGAAGGGCTAGGATATTTGGAAGGCATAGAAGTGAATTTCCCATGAAATGAGTATTCAGATTATATGTTTAATTATCTAATACATAAATATATATCAAATATATCATTACATTCTAAAATGAAGCATTAAATAATAACACATTCTAAATGAATTAAATAAATGTAGCGTTTCTAACAACAGATAAATTTAAAAAAAGGTTTTACTATTATATATAAAGTGAATTCTAATATAAATACATATAAAAAAATACAGAAATGTTATAGTTTTGTTTGTTTACTATTTGTCAGAGTTTTTTAGTTTTCATGCTTCTTAGTGTTTTTAGTTAGTTTTGTGTTTACTTTGTCAATGAGTTAATGTCCTTTAAAAGATCTCTGTGGCTTTTTTAGCCATTTTATAAGAAGTAGATATTTAGTCTGTTTGCATCCATTTCCCTGTTACTTAATCCCCCGTTTTGTTGTCAGTATTTATTGGTTCCTCAGTTTTCCATGTTCTTGTTTTCCGTGCTTTAGTTCTTCATTTAATTCTTTAACTAACTAGCATATACCATACTGGGACAGCACAGTAGAACTTGCAGCAGTTGGTCAGCCTCAGGCAACGTGTATCTTGACATGTCACCTCTCAGCCACCATCAGGCACTCTGCATTTATCACTATCCTACAACCGTAGGGTATATCTTAACCTTTGAGTATGGGAAATTTATGTTTGTTTTTTTTCTAAGTCTCTCAAAACAAATTAATCAAATATGGTAAAAAAAAAAAAAAAAGAGAGAGAGATAAAGTTGACAATTATTTATTCTGTAGTGTTTCTTGCTAGTTGTCTAGTAAACAAGGCTGGTTGTGTTGTGTGTTTTGACTAAATGTACAGTTTTACAGTATTACTATTTTTACACAAAAATATAATAAAAAACTGCAGAAGCGTGGGAAAACGCTGACTGAGTACAGTTAATGACTTTAATAACAAAAAAAAAACACAGTAAAAACACTTTTTTTAAGACAGTAGCAACACAGAAAACTTTGGTACACATTAAATCCTCTAACTATCCACTTACTGGGTGCCTATCAGGCAAAGAATAAACTGCTCACAGAAACAATTTGCAATTCAATTTTACATATAACTTAATTCAATTTTACTTTGTGATGCTTGTGTTATTTGTATAAAGTAAGAAAAATCATGACCAACACTCTGGTTTTCCCTTAAAATAATAGTAATAATAATATCTGTAATGGGAATTTGTTTGCAACCTTTAGTACAGAAAAAATGCGACTCTAGAACAGTAAAAAGCTAGGCCTTAAGCAGCTCAAATATATAAATCAGTGTCTTTAGTAACTAAGGGATGCATTTCAGTTGATTGAGCGCTTAAGATGGGTTTTCATCTGAAACATTTAAAGCCTAAAAAAGTGAACTTTTACTTTTTAAATGTCTCTGAAATATTAGGCAACTTTACATTATAATCAGAAGCCTCCAAGTTCTCTGAGCACATTTAATGTTGAATGTGTTGGTTGCAGGGTTAGATGTTCTCAGTGACTGGAAGTGAACACAGAAAAGGAAAAATCTGATGTTTTATTGGTATTTAGTCCTTTTATGAGCAAAAACCAACAATAAAAGGCAAACAGTAGGCAAATGTGGTTTAGGTAGCAGCACAGCTACAAAGGTGGATCTAAATGTCTAAAAGTGACTGCATCTATTGTGTATATTTCTATATTTCTTTAGATCGATACATTTGCGGTCATCCAGGCTGATAGCTGCAGTATCCCGGATCAAACCCCTGCTTCCTGTCCTTAATACAGCTACCTTTGTGCTTTGTATTCACTGCCATTAGCTCAGGACAGCTACCAGTACTTTTTATGAAATCTGTATTTTCTTGTTACTAATGTTTTGCTTTGTTTACAGCTTCTGTTGAGATGAAGGCTCGTCCTGCTTCTTGCTTCCTCTAATCCTCCCTGCCGTGACCTCTGACCTCCGAATGGCTTCTTACATAAGAAGGAAAGCACACGGGAGCACACCCTGGCCTCTTGTTAAGCTCATTAACAACTATTGCTGGATGCCCGTGCTAGCAACAACACCCAGAAATAAACCTCAGTGTTGCCAACTGGATCAGAACCACGTGGTCAGTTTCTGAGTTTTGTTCTGCAGTTAATAAAAAACTTTCAAGGTGAGAATTTGTTTATTTTTTTAATGAATACTGCTGCTATGAAAACAACTGAAATGAACCTAAAGGGATATGTTAGTTTGTCCCTATAGGAGAAGATATTAAAAAGTGCATTAAGTTTAGTGCAAGGTAGTGCACTGCAAACATTGTTGTTGTTTTTTTTTTTAAGTACACATTTTGTCAGATAAATGTGTTTTCCATTAATTTAAGCAGGTAAAACTGATAATCTTCTAGTGGAATTGGTACTTTTTTGCACTTAAAAGAAGATAATTAGATATTTTCTATTGACATTAAATAATGTAGTTGTTTGTTCTTATTCTAAATAAAAATCACCTTATTCCATTGAAAAACTGCCTTATCTGCTTAAATCAAGGTAATTTATCAGGTCGCTTTGTGTAGTTCTGGTATTTTTGTTCAACATTCTCATGATCATTTAATCATGATAGTCTCCCTCCCTCTTACCCCCGATGTAGGGAGATTATCAATGGTCCTGCATGTCTTCTACTTTCTTCCATCTGCTCCCACAGTTAATTTACCAACCTGTTCCTATTGTAGATTCACTCCTCCCAGTGATTGAAGGTCTACAATCATCTCCTCATGTCCTTCAACAGCTATTTTGTCTCTGCCATGGTTGAATTTGGAGTCAGAGGGCAGGTGTCTTTTATACAGGTAAGATGTGGAGGGTAGAGGAGTTTTTAAAAGAATTTACAGCTCTGTGAGGACCAGACATCTTGCTTGTTTGATGGTGACCAACCACTTATCTTTATTTTGTCTCTCATCATTAAAAGTTACCAATCATGAAAATTAGTAGGAGAACTTGAACAATTAGTTAACTAAAAATTTTTTCCCCCCTCTGTAACATCCTGATTTTTTAGCACCTTTATGTATGTAAACCAAAGGCAACATCTGTGCTGTTTTTTGGCCTCTTCTTATATTTCTGATGGTCCTAGAGAAACCTTTACTGCTCATCTTTCCTGTCAACCTTCCCTTACACTATAAACAATATAATTAGGATGCAGAGTGGCCTAATTTTAGCTATATTTAAGCATTAGGGCTTTACGCTTTAATTAATACTCATAAAAATAAACAGAAGAAGAATAAGGCAGCCAGGTTGAGTTTTAAACAAAGGAAGATGCATATTTTCTCTACACCCAGCTGATCACTCATCAGGAATCTTCATGAATTAAAAAGCACACTGTATTTCCTGTTTTTTATTCACCATCACATAATGTGGTGGTGAGCGTTACACACCTCAGATTTTCTATATCTAACAGCTAGCATTGCTCACTTCAACGTTCTTTAAATCATGAGCTCCACCTCTAGAGCCAAACACTGGAAGGAAACTTTGCTGTCAAAGAAACTACGGTCAGTCTAAAGTTTGCTATAGAGCATATATATAAATATGATATTTGGTGTAAATCAAATATATTCAAGAAAAAGAGCCTCATGCCAACTCTAAAGCATGAGGTGGATATTCCATGGTTGGGGGATGTTTAGTTGAATCAGACCTTATCAATTCAATCTTAATTTCAGTTTATTCATATAGCGCTGATTTAAAACACATTTCCCCTCAAGTCACTTTATAGAGAAAATTTAATTAGATCATCCAGTTAGATTGGGTTAAAGGAAAACTGGCTGAGTGCAGCGACTCATTGACTGGACAGCAGTCCCTCACACTGAACATGTATGTAGCGACAGTGGAGAGGAAAACTCAATTTTAACAGGAAGAAACCTCCAGCAGAACCAGCCTCGGTGTGAGGGGCCATTAGCTAAGGCTGACTGTTTCAAGGAGACAGAAGCTGACTTGCGAAATGAACATTGAGGCAAATATTTTCTATGCTAGAAAAGGTGATGGTGAACTAGCTTCATAGGGGCCTCTGTTTAGGAAAGAAACAGTAAAGTAGACGAGGTCTGAGCCAATTTTCATGTCAAAGGGATGGAAGAGGGCACATACATTTAGTCCCAGTAAAGGTTGAGCACATAGCTATGTCTAGGAGAGAAACAGGACTAAATAGTTAAAAACAGGCGACCTTTATCATCTTTAATTAGACATGTGATGGCAGCAGCCCAGCTTGTACTTCCCTCCAGGATGGCATCACAGCCAAACAGGAACAGAGCAGATTGTTAACATAAAATCCGTCGTCAGTTCCACTTCATATAGGAAAAGGTGAAGTGGTTTGTCAAACGGTTAAAGCAGAAGCACAACTGGACCCATTAAGTCGAGGAGATTAGAAAAATCCCGCAAACATCTCTCAGCCGGAAGTTGGGCAAACTCTCCTCTGACTAGATTCCCAGCCTGGTAGATGGTTACAAGAAGCATATCACTGAAGAATATGATCAAAGAGCTCTTTTTTGCTTAATTGACAAATAATAAACTGTTATGTTTACATTATTTATTTGAATTAGTAGAATGATTGATTTCCTTTCTATCCTAGAGATAATCGGGAATACTTTTTGTTAAATTCCAGAGTATTTTTTATTTACTGTGCTGCTGTCTAACTGTAAAGCTGAGATTTTTTTTTTACAGCATGCATGCAGCTGAGTGTTTGCTGGAGGCAAGGAAAGATGGTGCTAAGGCATTAGGGGACAGCAGCCATGTGACCATGCGTGCAGGGATTGGTTTACTGCAGATGTGACATCAGAGAGCCTCCCATCCCCTCCTCCTCTCCTGTCGTTCCCACTCTTCCTCTGTCTCTCTTTCTCTACCCATCCAGCTCTCTACTGCTCTATCTTCCTCCTCAGCATCCCCCCCTTTCAGTGATGGCGTGTGTCGATGCTGCTCAGGCGTCCGGGGCCTAGTGCACTTAGGGAGGACCCCCCTCCCCTCCCTCCATTCCCCCTTATTTGGAGACAATTCTCTTGATTTCTCTTCTATCCGTGTCCTCCACGGCTCCTGTAGTCTTCATCGTGCATCTCTGTGCTGCGGGTGCCTGCGATCCCGGCCCTCTGGGGTGGAGGAAATCAGCATCGTGCTTCGAAGGGGGAGCTGTGCACAATTAGCCATGCCCTGCCTAGGCTTCATTTGACCGCCTGGATCTTTCTTCTTCTGTCCACGTGTGCACCCAGAGGGCATCGTAGGATGAAAATCTGCAACTATGATGCAAGGTACATGTTCTGTGCACTGGATTGTCCTCTTGCAGTTCTCACTTGTTATTTCTCTGCACCCTCCTCTTGCCCTCCTGTGTCCTGCTGGGTCATTAGAGCTAGTGAATCCGTTGATGTGATCTGTCATGCTGTGTAGAGAAAACGAGGTATGTGCATGACCAGTTTAACACCATGGCTTCTTTCTGTGTGTGTGTGTCCATATGACATTGTGTGTGACAGATTTACAGAAGGGCAACAGAGACGACTGGGAGTGTGATGTAGGTTTAACATGTGACAGAGTGTGCCTTTGCTCTGCTGTTTTTCTGTGCTCGGAATATAGATCCACCTTGTAGATCTTTATCTTCAGAAAGAGCCATTGAGCAGGATGTTCTCATTCAGGATGCCACTGCTGCTGCTGCTATGGACTCCTTAGTTTCCATCACATCAAATGAATGATGGATATAATTCTGCTTGCCCTATGCAGAGTTTTCCGTGTACTTCCCTGCATGCCTTTTGAAAGAAGGTGGCTAATCTTAGCTAAAGGCCTGCAGTCATCCTGTTATGATGTGTTCACTGTCATGTGGGAATCCACACTTCATCGCAACCTTAGTGTTACATCTTCTAAAAAAGGTGCTGAACTTTTTCGGTTTTTGAAAATGCGGAATTACTATTTTTTTCTACAAATCGAACGAGTGTGTGATGCTTTTGTATTTAGCCCCCCTCCCCTTTCACCTAAGTCAGTACTTTTTATAATCACACTTCACTGCAAGGCATTTGGAATATACTTCTACCATCATTTCACCTCTAGACTAAATTAATTCTTCTTTGTAAAGTACAACAAATCAGCCCGATTGAAAAGGAAGTTTCTCTAAGCAGCAATTTATAAGTCTGGCTACAGATTTTCACATGGATTTACATCTAATCCTTAAAAAACACATTAATTTTCATTGCCTTTGCCTTCTATCTAAGAATACCATACAGCAGGGGGAGGGTGCTGCCATTTTTTTTTTTACAATCAATGCAGGAAGTACAGATTAGAACTCTCTCCAGAAAACAAAGTTGTCTCAGTTAGAATTCAAAGAAGTAATCAAATCCACTTACCTTAGATTTATTTATCTTTATCCACCAGTATTAGGATCGGGCATATCCCTCAGGAGAGGGGACAAACCAAAAGTATTAAACGAAATGTAGGCTTCCTTCAAAATTTCCATTAAGGTTTTTTTTTTGTTGTATTTAATGAAACTTTATCAACAAAAATAAAGATGATAAAGCAAACAAGGATCAGTGCTTAACAGTATTCAGAACAGCAAGATAAATTGTCGCAAGATTTTTGTATTTACAAACTCTTGAAAATGCATCTTGCTAGAAGGAAACTGACTTGTTGGCCTCGATACAGAAATGTTTCATTACAGAAGAAATTAAAACTTTGAATTATTAGTTTTGAAACAAAAGGATTTAAACAAAAAAAATGTAAAAATTCAGCTGAATCAATCAACTTCCTGCAGGAGTTGTAAAAATAACGGCACCCTCCCCCTGCAGTAGGGTGCCTCTCTGCCTGTCCCAGTTAAAAAAAAAAATAAAGATCCCCACAGCATGATGCTGCCAATGGAGAGTTCAGGGTTATGTGGTGTGCAAAACTTTTACCTCCTTATCAACTTAAACTCTGACATGTCTGATGAGTTTCTTAATCTTTATTCATTAGTTTTTTCAACTAACTTTTAAGGCCTTCCTAGGAGAGTACTGGGATTAAATTGGATTTGAATTGAACAAAGATAACTGATTGCTCCAGATTTTATCTTCTCTAAAAACAAACAAATACAAATCTAGTTTGTTTTTGCAATATGGCCAAAGATGAGGAAAGATGTAAGTGATTTAAACCTCTTAGCAAGGCTCTGTGGGCTCTGCATGGCATAGTATAGGCATTCTGATTTTTTTTTTTTTTTAATGCTTTCTGACAAATACCACTGAATCCCATCAACTTGCACCTGGTTGCTGGTAAAAACTGTGTGAAAAAGTAAAAAAACACAATGTACATAGAAGAAGAGTACAAGAGCAGAACAAGAACGGGTGACAGCAAGAATCTTAGTACATCCCCTGCTAGTTAACGCATATAGCTGCAAAACCAACTCTTTACAGACTTCAGTAAAATAGTTTTGCAAGGTAGTTTGTTCTGAAACAAATGTATAACCTGATTTCTGTATTTTATGAACCACAATGAAATAATTTCCTGAAAAATGTGGATCTGCTATTATAATTACTACTCAGCATAACTGATAAGAAATGTGTCTCTGGATTATTCTAAAAAAGTTGCATCCACTATCAAATCTTGTTAGTTGCTCTACGAGGAGAAACTGTATCTAGTTCCCAACCATGGCTAAGACCAGGGAGCTTGAGAACTGGACTGGAAACTCCCATTCCACAACAACAGCTGGAAGCTGATGCAGTCAATAAACTCTCTTAATCACCGGAAAATTATGGTAAATTGTTACAAAAAAAACAAGCAAACAAACAATAGATATGTATATTTTTGTTCTGCAGGCCATAAGCACAAAAATGGCCATGAATAAGAGTATTACAAAAACAAATCTCGAAAGTTAATACTTTACTAAATAGTAACCAATTTGCATTTTGCAAGTAATTCTGCCTCCAGTAAGTTCAGCATCGCATCTTACTCTATGTAGGTCCTTTTGATTCAGAATGCAGGACAACTTGTCATGAAGCGAGGACAGATTGACCCAGTATTCGAGGAGAGACAGTCAGTAGGAAAGTTCAAAACGTTTAATAAAACAAAACTAAAGCGGCCACGATCATCTGACAGAAGATTATCTGAGTTGGTCACTTACCTGGTTTAACAGTCCAGACCAAGAATGTCCCCAAGTGCTGCAGTCCCAGAGGTGATACTGGAAGCCGATCCTGGTCAGGGATCCAGAACAGACCGGGACAGGATCCAGATCAGGCAGGAGCAGAAACAGGAGGCAGGATCCAGACTTCCAGGCATCCACAGGCTTCCAGGAGGGTTCAGAGTCTGACTGGGACCAGAAGCATGACCAGGTGGTCACGCACAGGAGCAGACAGGATCAGGTGCAGACAGGCAGGCTCAGTGGAAGAGGGTAGCCGAGACAGGACGTGGAACCGGAACTTGAAGCAGGACTTTAAACTGGTCTCCTCTCTGCAGCCAGGCTTACTGGATAAAAACTGAACCTCCCCACATATTGAGCCAAAAACCCAGAGGACTCAGCAGGGGAGGAACAGTGGACGATCAGGAAACGAGACAAACACTAAAACCCTCTTTCCACTGGCTGCTAGGATCCAGGACACGAACCAAGGAACAAAACTGAACAGACAGACTGACAGAAAACAAATAATGATCTGGCACTGAATGCTCAGGCTGAACTCCATATAACCAAGAGGAAACAGGTGAGAGGAACAAATTATAATTAAGGCAGGGAGGGAAAACAGGTGAAAGGAATTACTAATTGAGGAGCAAACAGGCCAGATCATGACACAACTTGACCTATTTCAATGCTTTTCATTAAAAGCTTTTGATAAAAATGAAAACCTGGATTGAGTCAAGGGCCTAGTTCTGTTTGATCAAAAACAGAGAGATGGAGAAACTTCTCAAAGGGCTCCAAGTTCGAACTTTCTCTCTGTTTTGGTTCAGTTAGACTAGAACCCTGTCTTTGTTTCTGTGTTCAACTGTTTGTTAAAACTCTTAACTTTAGCCTGAGCTTTTAGGCATACACTCTCCCCAGTGAGCAAATATCCCTTTTTAACTGACAGGTTCATTCTGGACCCATTAACTTGAGGAGCTTCGAAAAAAGTCTAACAAATTCATGCTTTTTGTCATGGTTTAAATACATATCAGTTTAAAGTAAATTTGAAACTATTCCAACATAAGATTCACAAAACGTTTGTCTTTAGAAAAAGACAATAAAATGAACAATGTTGGATGTTATTACTTCTAAAATATACATTAAATGTCAGAAATAGAATGCATTCAGACAATTAGATAAAAGAAAACTAGTTTGCTAAAAATGCAAAGTATGTCATTTGTGATTATGTAAGTAAAAAAATCAAAGTGAATTAAACGATAAAATGTGTCTAAAATCTGATCCAATTTGGCATAAAGGAGGCTTCTCATGAGTATTTACAGATACTAAATGTTTAATGAGTTTCTCCTCAGGCTAGCTCTATAAATGGGTTAAAAACAAGTCTTTTCACAATACAAAGAGGCTCTGCTTCAGTTTACAGTCTGCTAGTCTTTTAATTGCATTCTACTGTAGACCAGAAAATCCCATCTTGTAAAGTGTTGTGCATTTATTACTGCAAAAGGTCCAGATTGTAAGATGTTTCTACCCATTATCTGATGAGCAGAGAGGAATTTTTCAGGCTCTGAGATGATGTATTTGTTAGCAGACGGGAAAGGAGGAAATAAAAATCCCATTAAGTAAATTACTTGATCCCAGATATCATGAGTTCCAGTAGGTCGAACTCTGTTTATGCTTTATAAAGAAGCTGCATCAAAGAATCCTATTTTCGTTTGATGGACAAGACTGAATATTTGATTAAGACTGTGGATGTTCACATTAGTGAATGGTGAGATATATTTCTTATTTTTACAATATAGGAAAAACTTATTGAAAGATACCCATAACTTTAACTGGCTGATAGTTGTTTGGAAGTTTCTCTGGTCTGATGTAAGAGCCAAGTTATCCCATCAAGGATTTTATATGTTAAATATATGGAGTTTCTATCAAAACCCAGCTCCTCACATTAGTTTTGATGGCATCTAATTGTGTCTATTTTTTATTTTTATTTTTTTGCAGCCGATTTGAAAAATCTCAGCTCATTTATTTTGAGCTTTTTCCTCACGCTGTGGTGTACAATTAAAATCGTGGTCTAATATTTCTCTCCACAACCTTGATTATTACCTTCACACCTCAAATTGGGCCAAGAAATTGGTCAGACTAATTAATCTTGATTAAATTATTACTGAAATAATTTGGTAACTAATTGAGTAATTAAATAAAATTGTAAAGTAAAGTACATAGAGTCTGAAATATGCCATTTCCTGAGAGACTGTCCCTCTCAGAGCAGCAATTAAGCTACTGTGGTATCTAAAATAAAACCCTTCTTGAATGTAAAAATGCTTAATATTAATATCCATCCATCCATCCATCCATCCATCCATCCATCCATCCATCCATCCATCCATCCATCCATCCATCCATCCATCCATCCAT